CTTTAAGCCATTACTAATTAGGATATATCTAGAAATGGCTATAATCTAGAACGCTTTATTAGGTTTATTAGATAGTATTATTAATAAGTGCCCTACTTTGTATAATGCTTTAAGATACTTTAAGAGCTTAAAACTAGCATCTTTTAAGCGCCTTAAAAAGATAAAGGTTCTCTATCAGAAAAGCCTTAGGAGCGAAAGAGTTGTGGGTCAAAAGCTCTAGAGAATCTATAAATAAACTAGTATAACGCCACATTCAAGGATCTTAAGACTATATTTATAAAGGCTAATGATATTCTCCGCTATTTTAACCCTATCAAGATTCTTTACATATTTCTTAATACATCTAAAGAGCTCGGTTTTAGTGTTGTAACCTATTAGCTAGAAGACAAAGAGGCCCAGGATTCTTATAAGCTATTAAGGATCTTCTTAAGACCTATCATCTTTCTATTTAAGTGCTTAACGCCAGCTAAATATAACTATTAGCCTATAAACTTAGAATTAGCAGGCCTTATCTAGGCAGTTAAGCAATTATAAATCTATATTAAATAAATAAGGACTATTATTTATACTAACTATTAAGCAAATCTAATTATTATAATAGTAAAATTATTATATATAATATCTTCTCTAAAGATAAATACATGTTAATAAGGCTAGGCAGTATTCCTAAGTTAGTATTAGAATAATATAATAGTTATTTATAAAGAAGGCTGTAATATAGTAGTCCTAGATACATTATTAAGACTTTCTATAAAGCTCTATAGCTAGAAGGAGCTTTAGCAGCCTGAAGAGAAAGCCTTTCTCAGAGTAGTACTGTTAGGGCTTAACGAAGAAGAACTTAAGAGACTACGCTAGAAGGTCAAGCAAGAATTTCGCAACCTATACAAGAAGTTCCAGGAGATGCCACTACCTACTCCAAACCCTTAAAGGCTTTCAAACCGACCCTACGCCCTATTCTATCAAGAGAATAGTTCGGATCTCGTACGACTCAACACGCAGGGAGCTGAACCGTGTTTTGTTATCCCTTATAGCTTTCAACATGTAATGCTGCAAGCTGCGCATGACAACCAGGTCCACGGAGGCTATACGCGACTACGCGAGGCGCTCGCAGGCGTATAATGGCCGAAAATGAGCAGAGATATCCTGTCCTACGTACACTACTGCGCAGGATGCGGAATAAACAAGCCGCGCCGTGTGAGCTTTGTACCGCCTCTCCAACCGCTTCAAGCACCTCCGCGGCCTTTCTACTCCTTAACAATGGATTTCATCACCGACCTACCCTCAGAGGATGGACATAACATGATTCTAGTCGTTGTTGACTAATTTTCAAAACGAGTGGCTTTTGAAACAAGGAAGAAGGCGCAAACAGCTGAGAAATGGGCTAAATGCCTCTAGGATAACGTTTTCTGCAAGAGGGGCTATGGCTTACCTAATACTATTACTACTAATAAAGACGCACGATTTACAGCTGCGCTTTAGAAGAGAGTGTTTAAATTAGCCAGCACACGACTAATCTATACCACAGCATACCACCTATCCGCGGATAGGCAGTCCGAACGCGTTAATCAAGAGCTAGAGATAGCCTTACACTTTTACGTTAACGCGATACAGGCTGACTAGAGACTTTTCTTACTTACTATCGAGTTCTACTTTAATACGAACTACTTATCTGTTGTCGAACAGACCCAATTCCAGGTGATCTACGGCTTCACCCCTACTACTCAATTAACGCTATTGATACCAGAAGCGCTAGAGCAACTTGTCGCTGAATAGCAGGCAGCAAGAGATATCGTAATAGAAGGGCTTCAATTAGCAGCTGATACAATAGCTGACAGAGCTTTGCAAGACTAATCTTTCAAATCTGGGTAGGCTCAACTACGTCTTTCGCCAAAGACTTACTCGTTGCCCTCAACACGTAAATTTGCGTTATCTCCACGTTACACAAGAGCCTTTCGAATTCTAGAGACCATAGGCAAGGGCAACGCGCTACGAATGGACCTGCCTGCCAGCTAGGGCATCCACCGAGTCATCAATAAGATCCATCTTGACCCTGCGCCAGACCCTAAAGACGACCCCTATCAGCGAAATGTACCTCCTCCCCCAGACTATATTGACGAAAAAGGGATGGAACAATGGGAGATAAAGAAGATAGTAGGCAAGCTCGTCAACGGCGAGGCAATAACATACAAGGTTAGATGGCATGGCTTTGGCGAGGATGACGATACTTGGGAGGCTCAAACAGCATTTCCGAATGCTCAAAAGTCAGTGTAGGCGTACGAAGACGCCCTGCGGCGCTCTAGACTCCAAGGGCGTCGCCAGGCCGATGGATCGACCCTCTACGGAGAGCCTCGACCGCGGCTGCGGCGCTAGACCGAATCAGGAGAGAGTGTCAGCTCGGAGAGATGCTGTTGTTTGTGCATTTTCTGCGTTTTGCCACGCTGCTGCTGTGACCACGAGGACGTGGTCTTTTTCTGCTGGCGGCAACTGTTACGTAGTAACCTGGCTAAATGCCCCGAAGGGGTATTAGGGCAGGGCTTCGCGCGCCTTGGCGCCCTGCGCCTTATCCTTCTACCCCT